TAGTTAAAATTGCTTTGCTTTTAAGATCAGAGTGAAGGATGTCCCAACTGTTTACTGCTGTTCATTTACTGATCCTCATGTAATTACATTTGATGGCAGGTAATTTTCTGAAAGTTTTCTTTTAGTAGATTTTGTTTTGGTTTTTGTCATTGTTTTGTTTTGAACACCATACTATTTTATTATTTTTTATTCTATTTCACTAAAAAATCACAAAGTGAAGGTATGTATGGATATCGCTGGCTTGTTTTCAAATACTAATTTGTGTGTATACAAGTTTTTGGCTTGAGATTTATGAGACTGTATTTATAAAAATGAAAATTATTGCAAAAGTAGATGATCATCTTTGACCTTTTATTTATTTTTAATAACGAATAGATTATTTGCTTTAAAGATATTTATTGAGTTACATTTTTATATGACATTAAAATAAGCTTTAAGGTTTAGGCAAAAAGAGTAAGCTAACACATTAGAATTAGTTAAACAACATCAACAAACCCTTCTAGTTGCTATGTTGAGTCCATCCTGACTCCTGGCAACACCATGTGTGTCAGAGTAGACTGTGCTCCATAAAGTTCTCAGTAACCAATTTTTCAGAAGTAGATCAGTAGATGTTCCTTCTGAAGTGTGCACAAACCTCTTTTTGGTTAGTAACTGAGAGAATTAACCATTTGCTCCACCAAGGGACATGGAGATTTGTTTAATGCAATTCAATTCAAGAAGATTAATTGTGCAGCAACAAAGTGGCAAACCATGTAGTAAGTTCTGGGGTATGGCATGAATAAAACAAGTATTTTCTGACTTTACCATTCAATAGGTGAAGAGAGATATAAAAATGATTAATAAATATCTGATGAAGATATGTGCTATGATGAAAACTAAAGCAGGGGTAGAATTAAGGGTTGCAAGCTATGTTAAAATAGAGTTGTTAGAGAAAACCAGAATGCGATGACATTTGAGCAAAGACTTAAAGAAGGTGAGGGAGATAGCCATGAGCACACAAGGAGAAGAGCCTTCAGCAAGCCTGCCCTCTTTGAGGAGACAAGGAAATGAAGGGAAAGAGCAGTGGTAGAGATTTAGGTGTTTATCACCACTTTGTTTTTTTTAGTTCCATACAAATCAATGCTTGTAATACGGAAAGCTACTGGAAATTTAGACATTTCATTATTCCATCAAAATATATTAAATGCCTATGAATATATTTAACAATAAATATTTTTGGTTGAAAGGTTATTATTGTGATATTTATACCTGTTCTTACTGCAAATGACTTTTGTTAATGATAGAGATTATGATAATTTCAAGACTGGGATATTTGTGTTCTATAAGAGAATGTCTTGTGATTTTGAAGTCCATGTACGTCAATGGGACTGTGGAAGCCTTCACTATCCTATATTATGTAACTGTGAATTTGTTGCCAAGGAAGGAGGTGACGTTGTTACTTTTGGTATGTGAAATGGCCATCTACATTCATCATAGCCATATTTATTTGTAAAAAGGCAAGATATAACCAGCAATATCAAGATAAGTGAAGCTTACTTAGGAAGAAAAGTCACAGTATATATGATTCTTTACTATTAAAAATATTTCTCCTTTTTCTCTACAGTAAAAATTAAAATCTGAATGGCCATTCAATTCTTTTAAATTTTGTTTTGTTTTGTTTGTTATTTGCTGTCGAGTCGGCCCTGTCTCATAGCAACCCCTCCTTGGGTTTCCGAGGCAGTATCACTACAGAAGTAGGATTGCCCAACCTTCCTTCCGAGGAGTGGCTGGTGGGTTTGAACCACCAGCCTTCTGGTTAGCAGTCAAGTGCCTTAGCCACTATGCTACCAGAGCTCCCTTCTTTTAAATTAGTATCTATTATTTTTTTAATAGTTTTTTTAAGAAAATGGTATTTAGACTTAAGTCTGATCTTAGAAATATATCTATATTTTCACCTACCACACACAAACAGATACAACATAGTTAAACTTGGTAAAAAACTGAACTGCCTTATTTAAGATTTTAATACGAAAACTTGGTGTATTATTCATAAAAATTATTTTGATCCTGTCTAATACATAGTACAATAGAAATGAAACACAATTAATAATAAATACTCAAGAATAGCCAATCAATTTGAAAAATAAAGAATGGAAAGTCCAGAAATAGACCCAAGACTGTATGTACTCACTAATATTTTTTAAAGATGGTATTTCATATCTGTGAGCTAATTATTCATATCCATATTATCTTCCAGAAATGTAAATTCCAGATGAATAAAATTTAAAAGTAAATGAAAGTACTAGAAAAGTGGAGGTGAATATGTTTATAATATTGAGGTGAGCAAGAATTTTTAAAGATAACATTATATATGTGAATGCATATTCTGTAAAAATCTGATCATAAACAAAATGCAAATCAAAAATTGGGAAAATATTTGCAACATACAAAGCAAATGATCAATATAGAAAACACCATTACACATAGCTAATATATAAATCAGCACTCCAAGAAAAATGAGCAAATAATATAAATGGCGAATTCACAAAAGAAATAAAACTGGCAATTATGCCCCAAAATACAAATAACTAAAAAAATGTGAGACTTATTCAATCTCATAAGTAATCAAAGAATGTAGATCAAAACAATGCTGATATTTCAACCTAAAATCTCACTAGAATTTATCAAAATTCTAACTCTCAGTTTTGGTGACAGTGAAGGGTTATAAATATTTCATATAACACAGTCAAGAACAGGAATTGTTAGCCTTCCCAGACAGTATTGTGGAATAGAGTGTGTTTATAGAGGTAAAGAGGAGCTCTGGTAGCATAGTGCTTAAGGACTTGACTAACCAGAAGGTTGGCGGTTCAAACCCACCAGCCACTCCTCAGAAGGAAGGTTGGGCAATCCTACTTCTGTAGTGATACTGCCTCGGAAACCCAAGGAGGGGTCGCTATGAGTTGGGGCCGACTCGATGGCACATAACAACAACATAGAGGTAAAGAGATAGAGAGTGACTATGCATGTCATTTTACCAAAAAATCTTACTTCTGGTAATTTATTGTAAGAAATAATGAATGATGTGTATAAACTCATATATGTGCATTGCATCTCTCCTTGTAAGAGGAAAAAGTTACAGTTAACGAGTGATCAATAAAAGTGTTGAACTAAACCCTATACATAATGATAGGTCACATAATAAAATCCTTTTTAGTCATTAAAATGATGGAGTAGGTGTGTATTTATTGTCAGACAAAGATATTTATGAAACATTGGAGAGGTTTTTGAAGGATTTGCATCAAGATCTTAACAATAGCTACTTCAGGTTGAGTAGGAATGTAAAGTTTATTTGTTTGTTTGCTGTAAAAATAAATTTTCTGTGATAAACACATGATGTGTTTATAAAAAAGAAAACAGCACTATTTTTATTAAAAAAAAGAAAAGAAAAATTAGAGTGTCTGAGGAGCAAACACAGGTCGTCAATCTTCAGTGGTTTTTGGAGGAGTTTTCCTACAGGCCAGTCCAAGTCCCTGGTCAAGAGGAGGCTAGGGTCCTGTAGTGGATGAGGTGTATGCTAGAAGACAGAGGCTGTTAGGATCATCCAACAAGCTCCCTTGTTCTGATTCCACATTCACCAATCTTCTGGTCATAATTTGGCTTCTGCTTCTATTTGTCCATTGGCAGCAAGAAAATGCTGATTTGCCACAGGGATTTTGACTTTCTGCAATTGTATTTTCAAATGTATAGACTGTCAGTATGTTGAACATGTTATCAGAAGGGACCAGTCCCTGGAGAAGGACATCATGCTTGGTAAAGTAGAGAGTCAGCGAAAAAGAGGATGACCTTCAATGAGAGGCCGCAACAATGGGCTCAAACATAGCAACAATTGTGAGGATGGTGCAGCAACCTACAGTATTTCGTTCTGTTGTATATAGGGTCACTATGAGTTGAACCAACCTGATGGCACCAAACAACTACAACACAGTCTAGTTCTATATTAAATCATTATAAAACACATTACTTGGTAAACAGTACCCCCAAGAGTATAATTATTTTAATTGGGTAAAATATTTCATATTTGTTAAAATTAAAGAATAGAGTAGTGAACAATATATTCAAAGAAGGTTGAACATAGAGATTAAATGTCAAGCTAGCAAAATGCAAATATCCATTATTTTGACATAGAGTCCTAGAAAATTTATAAGCTCAGGAAAATCAGTATTTTATTCTCTCTTTATATCAAAGAGATGAATTAGTCTCTTTCATATTTCTTAATTTATAATGTTTTATTAATGTATACTTAATATTGTTGAAGTACCTTTTACTTCCATGTTGGCTATTTCTGTATTTCAGATCTGGTTTACTTCTGGAGCATTTGTCCATGCTGATCTTAGTAAAAAGGGCATGAATTTAACAATCAGGGCCCCGAGTTCAGATTACAGAAACATGTTGGGACTTGGTGGCACCTTTGATGGAAATCCAGAAAATGATTTCATGATAAAAACAGAATTGAAATTGATAAAAATGTTTAATAGTTTTGTTACTTTTATTAATGAATGGAGGTAAGAAAATAAATTGCTTTTCATTAGTGATTGTATTTAATCAAAGACTTAAAATGGGTGGCAAATGAATTATCTATTTTTTTTACAACAATATTGGGGAAAAAGTTCTTGTCCAAATGACTGTTGCTTTCTGTTTTCCATGTGGAAGACTTTTACCAGGAAAAAGCATGTTTGATACAATGCCAATTGCTCTGACATCGCCTGGAAAAACATTCTATTGCAGCTATTCAGTGGACACTGCTTCCGTGCATCCTTCTTCTAATCTTCTGGACAATGTTTCTCAATCAGAAATTGTTTCAGATTGCAAAGATATTGACCATGTGAGATTCTCTTCTTTGATACCAGAACTGGTTGTCACCTCTGAAAATATTAATTCAAAAGCTCTTTTCAGAGGTATGAGCAAGTATACATCTGAAGAAGAAAATAATTTGAATTCCTTTCCTCCAGAAAAAAAACATGTAAACCTAATCAAACTAGACTTAAATTTACAAACACATCCTGAGAATGAAACACAAGAGGCAACAGCAACTTTGGACGATGGGAGATACCCACAGGACCAGGGAAGCCACATCCAAGAAATGAGGTGGAAGCCACAAAATAGATGGAAGTGGCAAAACTTTTATGTGTTTCTTCCTTTGTTTGCTTTTCAAAGTGTCAGCCAAACTGACCTAGAAAAGTTTGACTATTTTTTTCCTGAGGACCATGCTTATGATATCCAACAAGAATTTGTTCCTTGGCCCACACCTTCTGGACTCACTAAACACAACTCCTTGGCACTTTGTCAGCAAACTCTAGCCAACTCCAGCATAGGAAGATTTTGTCTTGCTTTACTTGGCAAGAGATTAGACAGTGCTACAGATATGTGTGCTAAGGATGTACAGTTAAAAGATGATCTTGGATGGGCAGAAGCAGGTGTTGCCCTTTTAGAAAATGAATGTGAAAAGAGAATTTTGGAAGAAGGAATATACAATACAGAAGAACATGGCTAGTTGACTGAAGACATTCTCTTGGTATTAAAATGCTCCAATTTATGCAGTGGCCACGGGCAGAGTATGGAATGGGCTGTGCGTGTTCTCCAGGCTTTAGCTCCTATGATTGCATGAAGTGTATGGTGAGCAAATACTCTCAAATGTTGATATTTTGTGCAGTATTTCATTATGATAACTTTGTTCTTTTTTTTCTTTCTAAATTTATTCAGATTATAAAGGAATAAAATCCAAAACTTTATTGATTAGTAAATTAATAGCTTTCCAAAACTTGTTATTTATCATAGAAACTGAAATCCTTATGAACAAGGAAGGGTGTTATGTGGCATGCAATGTATCTCTAAACTCATCCCCTTTTACTGTTGCTCTCATTCACTTTACTCAGACACTTTGGCCTCTGTGTTGCTCCTTGAAAGGGCCTGATTCTCTTTACCTCAGGACTTTTGCACATGCTGGCTTCTCTACCTGGACCACTGTTCCTCTGGATATCCCTATAGCTCTTTCTCTTATCTTTTTCCAGTAAGTATTCAAATGTCATCTCAGTGAGTCCTTTCCACTCACAATAGTTAAAACTATCTAACAAGTCAGATGTTTGATTTTTTTTGTTTATTGTCTCTCTCCCTGCTAGAATGCAAATTCCGGGAGGGCAGGGAATCTTGTCTTTTGTTCAGTTCTGTTTCACCAGCACCAGAGCAGTGACTATTACATAGTAAACAACAACAAAACAAAACAATAACCCCAAACTACTGCTGTGGAGTTGATTCCGATTCATAGCGACCCCTTCTTGGGTTTCCAAGGTGGTATCTCTACCTCCTTGGGTTTCCAAGGCAGTATTACTACGGAAATAGACTGCCCAGTCTTCCTTCTGAAGAATGGCTGGTGGATTTGAACCGCCAGCCTTTTGGTTAGCAATCAAATGCCTTAGGCACTAGCCACCAGAGCTCCTTATGTAGTTGTTGTTGTTGTTGTTATGTGCCGTGGAGTCGGACCCGACTCATAGCAACCCTTCCTTGGGTTTCCGAGGCAGTATCACTACGGAAGTAGATTGCCCCATCTTCCTTCCGAGGAGTGGCTGGTGGGTTTGAACTGCCAGCATTCTGGTTAGCAGTCAAGTGCCTTAGGCACTATGCTACCACAGCTCCCCCTTATGTAGTAGGTGATGAAAAATTATAGTTGAATAAATGAAAATGAATTAAGTATTTTATTCTTTGTCATTTATTATTTGTTCTTGTATATGTTTCATTGTTGTTGTTTGTTTTTATGTGCTGTAGAGTCAGACCTGACTCATAGTGACTGCTCATTGGGTTTCCAAGGCAGAATCACTATGGAAGTAGATTGCCCAGTCTTCCTTCCGAGGAGTGGTTCGTGGGTTTGAATTGCCAGCCTTCTGGTTAGCAGTCAAGTGCTTTAGGCACTACACTACCAGAGCTCCTATATGTTTCATTGTTGTTGTTGTTGTTATTTGCCTTCGAGTCGGCCCGGACTCACAGCGACCCCTCCTTGGGTTTCCGAGGCAGTATCACTACGGAAGTAGGATTGCCCAATCTTCCTTCCGAGGAGTGATTGGTGGGTTTGAACCGCCAGCCTTCTGGTTAGCAGTCAAGTGCTTTAGGCACTACGCTACCAGAGCTCCTATATGTTTCATTAAGAAATGTTAAATGAATAAAAATGTTTCTTGCTTTTTTTCTTACCTTAAGAAAATGTATCTGACTCTACTTCTTCTGTCATATATAGCCCCATTTTTCTGCTCCACTTTACACCAAAACTTCTCAAAATACTAAAATGGCAACAACATAAATTGCTAAAATTTACATTAGGGATTAAAATTTTAAAAATATATTATGTTGCTAACTACATTATATTTTGCATAATTGTTTCTCCTACAACTCATCTATATGTCACTAACCAAATGACAAAACCAAGGTGTGGACCATTCTAGTAATAATTTCTTAATACTTGTCCTTTATTGATATCAAAATATTGTTTTCATTATTTTTGAGGTCCCTCTTCTCTCTGTTTGCTTCTCTTTCCTTTATATCTTATGAGGTAAAAGATGTGACTCAAGCAAGGGTGTGACTTGAGTAAAAGTAATGACATATTAGTGACACTCATAGGATTTAAGTAAGATTTTGGGCTAGGTTTCAAAGAATCATCTTCAATTCAATGTGAAGTTACTAAACTGCAAGTATGTGAATTATGGAGTTGGTAAAAAATTAGATTTTGTAAATCATTCAGATTAATTTTATCTTTGATTAATTTTGTGTATCAATTAGCACCATATTCCTAAAGGATGAACAGGATTTCACAGAGATCTGACCAGGAAAATTATTAAATTAGTTAACCATAATGTTCTCTTAAGTCTTTAAAATATTTTTTGAGGTATTGGTCCACTATTTTAAGTCACAGTAAGAAATTAAAAGAATATCAAGCTTGATATGTAAACTTCTATATTTCCTAGAAATCAAAAACACAAGGAGTAGATACCCTTCTTTGTTAGCCAGGACACCCAGCAATAAATTTTAGGTGTAGAGTTATGAATATTTCCCTTTTATAAACCAAAAATATGAAGATTAATAAATCTTATTCCTTATATTTGCCTTAATTTTAAATTTAATACAGGAAAATTATAAAACAAAAATAAATTAGTGTTTTTTTCTTTCTTATGGTCTAAAGACAACCAAGATCATTCAATTTGAACATTGGTATAGGAAGCTCTGGTGGTGCAGTGCCTAAGGCATTTGACTGCTAACCAGAAGGCTGGCCTTTCAAACCCACTAGCCACTCCTTGGAAGGAAGACTGGACAATCTACTTCTGTGGAGATACCGCCTTGGAAACCCAAGGAGGGGTTGCTATGGCTTGGATCCAACTTGATGGCAGTGAGTTTGGTTTTGGTTTATGTTAAATTGTATCTTATGTTTGATAACTGTTCATATGATCTCCTTTCCTTTATTCAAATGGAATTTTAATCAGAGCTCTTTGGATTTAGAAAGTATTTTGCATGAATAAGCTGATAATTTGTCAACAAATCATAAGTTGACATTATGTTTATTTTTGATCTAAACTAATGAAGCCAAATGTGATTATGAGAATTTACAGGAAAACAACTATTCTTTTAAATTTATTCACAAAGAATATACTTGTTTAGAGATATATAAGGATAGAGCCTTTCTAAATGGCTAAATAAACCATGAACTATTTTAATCCCAATGAAGTGATGAGTGTGGATGTAACTTCAGTCATGCCCTCTTGTAAGGCTGTAACTGAAGATACATCCCACACTAAACACATAAACTGGAGGATAATTACATCAGATCAAATAATGGAAGATAACAACACCATACTGGGAATCACTCTGGCACACAATAGAAAAATATATGTATATAATTTGGTTCACTTCAATATTACCCAAGAGAGTGAATATTATATTGATCTTAGCAGAATGAATCATATGACATCACACCACAATTACGTGATTTACCTAGAGAGAAATTTATAGATTTATCTTCTCTTAGAAGGTGCATTTTGTTCTTTCATACATATTATATGCTGTGACATTTTTTCTCATACTACCCTCTTCCAAACATTTGATACATAGAAAATAACTATGGAGCACTACACAGCATTCTCTAATGCACTACACAGCATTATGAAAAGAAACAGATACATTTTCTTAACAAAACCAAGACTAGTATTTATTTTATATTATGCTGAAAGTTTTGTATCAGTCTCTCCTAACCTCAAACTCAATGCTGTTTTATTGTTGTTTAAATTCCTGAAATTTAATTATTTTTTATTTTTACTTTTTTAACTTTTTGTTGCAATTTGAGTGAAAGTTTATATAGGAAATTGGTTTTCTATTCAACTGTTTATTCATGATCTGTTTCATGACATTGAATGCAGTCTCCACAATGTAACAGCATTCTTCCTTCTTCCTCCATTTTCATTTGTCCTTCTTTTCTATCCATTCCTGGCTTTTGAGATTTATTCCTGGGTAAATGATGCCCTTTTGATATCATATGTTGATTGTTCTAATGAATACGTACCTCTGGTGTTACTGTTCACCATATAGAACTGTCTATTGTTTGGCTCAACATTGAGCCATGGGGTTGAGTTCAGTTCCAGGCTTGATGGGTGACTAAGGGGTATAGTTTCTGGGGTTCCATCAGACCAGTAAGCTTGGAAATTTTTATTATATTGAGTTTTGTTCCACATTTTTCTCCCATTTTGTCCAGAACCTTCTATTGTGATTCCTTTCAGAGTGGTTGGCAGTGGTAAACAGGCAGCCTCTAATTTTTGTGTCTCAGGGTCATGGACCCTGAAGTCCATGTGGTCCATTAGTCCCTTGGACTGATTGTTTTCTTCACTCATCTTTGCTCCGGACAGGAAGAGATCAATGGTTGCAGCTTAGATGGCCACTCTCAAGCTTTTAAGACTCCATTTGCTCCTAACCAAAGTAGGACATAGAACAATATCTTTGTGGACTATGTCATGCCAATTACCTTGATGGCTCCTGTGACTATGATCCTGAGCCACATGCCCAGCAATTCATTCCCTGAACATGTTTGGTTGTGGCTAAGTTTTCATCACTTTGTCCCCTGTTTGCTCTACTATACACATGGATATTTTTATAGCACATGCAAGTACATATGTAAAAATATCGTCTGCCAAACCTATATATGGTCAATGGAAATAGTCCCATAATGCTGGGATTTAAAGGCTCTTCTACCTTTTGATTCCTTCATTCAAAACTATTTAATCTGGCATTCTTTCAGAATCCTCAACTCCAACTGAATGGGGCCTATCCAAAGCCTTGAATCTGGTTTGTTTGAAATATAGCATGAAGTATTTATTTGCTCAGTAAGCCAGAACCTTCCTTCCTAGCTTCCAGTCAACATAAGTGGATTTCTGCCCACCATTCTAGTTTGCACTCCAATTTCCTATAGTTATTGAGTTCTTAAAAATGTAGTTTCTTGGATCATGCATAACTCTCATAATTCCTGTAGTATGAAAGACTAATTTTTTAAATGTTTTTATTTTGTAGTAATTTTAGACTTGCAGAAAGTTGCAAAAACAGTACAGAGAGTTGAAAGTTACCTTTCATCTAGCTTCTCCTAAATTTAACATTTTACATATCCATAATAATTAATACCAGAAAATTAACCTTGATACAATACTATTAACTAATCTTCCAATCCTATTCAATTTTGCCATCTGTTCAGTTAATACTACTTTTTTTTTTTTTTATTCTGGATCCTATCCAGGATTTCATATTGAATTTGATTGTCACATATCTTTAGTCTCCTTTTAACCATGGCAGTTCCTCAGACCTGTTTATCATTCATGTACTTGGAACTTGTGAAGAATACTGACCATTTAGTTTGTAGAATGTCCCTTAATTAGGGTTTGCCTGATGAATGCTCATGATTAAATGAGGTTATAAGTTTTTAACAAGAAGACCATAAACTGAAGGTGTACCATTCTCAGAGCATCCTCTCAGGTACTACATGGTGTGATACATCTTATTACTAATGATACACATTTTAATAATTTGCTTAAAGTGTCTTCCATGTTTGTCCTTTAAAGCAACTCTTTCTCTCTTTGTAACTAATGAATATCTGGTAGGGGGGTCTTTTAGATTATGCAAATGTACACTTGTTCTCATATTGTTGCCTGCTAATTTTAGCACTGATCTATAAGTTTTGCCTACAACAAGTGTCACTGTGGTGTCTCAATAAAGATGATTTTCTATTTCCATTTTTTCCTACATATATGAAATTTTATCTTTATCTATTTATCTATCAATTCTGCTGAAAGGAAGGATCTGATCTTTCTCCCCAATCTATTTATTCAATTATTTATTTATATCAGTATGGCTTAATTAATGTCCTTTTATGGATTATCATTCAATGCTATCAATATTTATTTTGCTGGTTAAAGTGTCCTGGCTTTGGTAATTGCAGGCTTAAACCTCTGGCTTCTGCTCTATTAAAATCCATGCTTCTCTTTTCATATTCTATTTCTTCCAGCCATATTGAATCACATTCCGTCTATGTCTGTTCCAAGGGTCCAAATGGCAAACTTCTTTTTATTTTTAGTAATAGAAATATCATTTTATTATGAACTTTTCCTTGACTCTGCCAGTTAGACTTAATGTTTTCTTTCTCAACCATTGCACCTTATTTGAATCTGTTATAGCAATAATAAAATTATATTTTATATATCTGCCTTTTCCTTTGTGGTCTCTTTTTGTTGAACTATCCTCTGCGCATAGTAGATACTCAAAAAATCTTAATGAACAGACAAAAAAAGAACTCTGTTTCTTCATCATTCTGGGTAACTCAAAAGTCATAATGTTGTGATCAAATCTATATGACCAATATTGGGAAGCTTCTTTGATTTGAGTCCTCAAGAAATCCTTGAGTCAGAAGAAGCAATTTATGTAAAGTAACTATTTAAGTCTTTCATTATTCTGAGTAAAACTCAGTATCAATGTGACTTTTATTTTCTCATTATATATCTTATTATATTAGACATATTTAAAAATTCATAATTTTATTATACATAATTCATTAGCAAAATATTTCCATAATTTACCAAGCTGAATTGTTTTCTCATTATACCTTTAGGGTAACAGCAGGGAATGGGTCCTTGGAGAACCCATCTATGCCCATATTTTTTTTCAAAAATAACAGAACTGTTGATGGTCAGTTGCCCACTGATGTCCAGCCGTCTGATACCATAGATCTGATGGGTGAGTAAGCAACTGTGAAGTGGCAAGTAAAGGTTAAAAAAAAATCCCCAAACACTACATATATAAAAAAACTAAATGAATATTTATAAATTAAAATTAAACAAATTTATGAGGCTACATTTTGAATAAATTTTCTTATACAACTACATTTTATAGGTATCTGATGATGGCAATAGATTTAGTAGTCCCAAAATAATGGTCATATATGATGACCAAGTTTGTGGTCTCCATGCAAATGACTCATGTACTATAAAGGTATGTATCTTTTCATTTATTTTCATACTTTCATAATAGATCTTTTCATTTTCCATGCTGCTGGTATATTACTTGTGGTTTCCACCTGCATATCAGCTAATAGAGAAAAGCTTTTCTCAAATTTATATAACTTAAAACTATATATAAACTTGAGAAAAGTTTTTCTCTATTAGAAACCCACCACTCATCTCTCAATTTGTTGTACTGTGGTGGCTTGCATGTTGCTGGAAACTATGCCACAGCTATTTCAAATATCAACAGGGTCACTCATGATAGACAGGTTCCAGTGGAGCTTCTAGACTAAGACAGACAAGAAGGGAGGGCCTGGCAATCTGAATTCTGAAAAAATTGGCCAGTGAAAACCTTATGAAAGGCAGCAGTGGAACATTGTCTAATATAGTGCTGGAAGATGAGTCCCTCAGGTTGGACAAAACCAACATCAAACTCATTGCCATTGAGTCAGTTCTGACTCATAGTGACTCCTCCTTAGGTTTCCGAGGCAGTATCTCTACAGAAGTAGATTGCCCAGTCTTCTGAGGAGTGGGTGGTGCATTTGAACTGCCAGCCTTCTGGTTGGCAGTCAAATGCCTTAGGCACTATGCCACCAGAGCTCCTAGCTTCCTCAGGTTGGAAAGCACTCAAAATATGACTGAGGAAGAGTTGCCTCCGCAAAGTAGAGTTGACCTTAATAACTTGGGTGGAGTAGAGCTTTTGGAACCTTCATTTGGTTATGTGGACAACTCAAAATGAAAAGGGACAGCTGCAAATATCTATTAATAATTGGAACAGAGAATGTATGAAGTATGAATCCAGGAAAATTGGAAGTTGTCAAAAAGGAAATGGAACACATAAAGATCAATATCCCAGGCCTTAGTGAGCTGAAGGAGCTCTGGTGGCCTAGTGCCTAAGACATTTGACTGCTAACCAGGAGGCTGACAGTTCAAACACACGAGCCACTCCTTGGAAGGAATGTTGGGCAATCTACTTCCATAGTGATACCCCCTCGGAAACCCAAGGAGGGTTTGCTATGAGTTGGATCCAACTCCATGGCAGTGCATTTGTTTTTTGTTTTTTTTTCTGGTAGTGAGCTGAAATGGACCAATATTGTCCATTAGATAAAATATCTCAAAGGACAGCTAGAGCAGACATGTTGTTTGTTGTTGTTTTGTGCCATCGAGTCATCTCTGACTCATAGCGACCCCTCCTTAGGTTTTCGGGGCAGTATCACTACGGAAGTAGGTTGCCCAACCTTCCTACCGAGGAGTGGCTGGTGGGTTTGAGCTGCCAACTTTCTGGTTACCAGTCCAGTGCCTTAGGCACTGGATATTTTATAATGAAATATGCAACACCTGAAGTTAGAAAACCAAAAGGGAAGAACATGCTTGTCATATCTCAAGCTGAAAGAACTGAAGGAAAAATTCACACCTCAAGTTGCAAATATTGAAGGATTCTGTGGGCAAAATGTTCACTGACACAGAAATCATCAAAAGAAGATGAAAGGAGGAATACACAGTCACTCTACCAAAAAGAATTGGATGACATTCAACCATTTCAGGAGGTAGCATGTAATCAAGATCTGATGGTACTGAAGGAAGAATTCCAAGCTTTAGTGAGGGTATTGGCCAGAAACAAAGCCCTATGAATTACTGAAATGCCAACTGAAATGTTTCAACAAGCAGATGCAACACTCACTCACTTTGTTCCAAGAAATTTGGAAGACAGTTACCTGGACAACCAACAGGAAGAGATTGATATTTGTGCCCATTCCAAAGAAAGGCTATCCAACAGAATACAGAAATTATTGAACAATGTAATTAATATCACATGCAAGTAAAATTTTGCTGAAGATAATTTAAAAAACTGTTGCAGCAGTACATAGTCAGGGAACAGCCAGAAATTCAGATGAGGACATGGAACAAGAGATAACTTTGCTGCTGTCATGTGGATCTTGGCTGAAAGCAAAGAATACCAGAAAGATGTTTACCTGGGTTTTATTGACTATGCAAAGGCATTCAATTGTGTGGATCATAAGGAAGTATGAATAATATTGCAAAGAATGGGAATTTCAGAATATTTCATTGTACTCATGTTGGACCAGAACATAGACCAAGAGGCAGTCATTTGAACATAACAAGGTGATATGGATTGGTTTAAAATCAACAAAGGTGTGTGTCAGGGTTGTATCCTTCCAAAATACTTATTCAGTCTGTAGGCTGAGCAAATAATCTGAGAAGCTGGTTTATATGAAGAAGCACACAGCCTCAGGATTGGAGGATGACTTATTGACAACCTGCAATATGCAGATGATACAATTTTCCTTGCAGCAAGTAAAGATGACTTGAAGCACTTACTGATGAAGATCAAAGACTACAGTCTACAGTATGGATTACACCTCAACATAAAGAAAACAAAAATCATCTAAACTGGACCAATAAACAACATCATGATAAATGAAAAAAAGATTGATGTCAAGGATATCATTTACTTGAGTCCACAATCAACACCCATGGAAACAGTCAAGAAATCAAATGATGTATTGCATTGGGCAGATTTAGTGCACAAGAACTCTTTAAAGTGTTGAAGAGCAAAGATGTCACTCTGAAGACTCAAAAACAAAAACAAATTCACTGCTATCTAGTCGATTCCAACCCACAATAGATTTCCAAGGCTGTAAATCTTTACGGAAGCAGGCTGTCTTATCTTTCTTCCATGGTGTGTCTGGTGGGTTTACACCACTGACTTTTTGTTAGCAACCAAATACCTTAACCACTACACCACCAGAATTCCTTCTTTGAGGATTAAGGGCCTCAAAATACCATAGTACTTTCAATCACATCAAATGCCTACGAAAGACTGAAGAATTGAAGTATTTGAATTATAGTGTTGGCAAAGAGTATTGAATACACTGTGGATTGCCAGAAGAATGAAAAAATCTGTTTTGGAAGAAATACAGCTTGAATGCTCCTTAGAAGTGAGGATGGTGAGACTTTGTCTCAAATATTTGGACATGTTATGAGGAGAGACAAGTCCCTGTAGGACATCATGCTTGGTAAAGTACAATGTCAGCAAAAAAGAGGAAGACTTTCTATGAGATGGCTTGACACTGTGACTGCAACAGTGGACTCAAAGATACTGATTTTTCAATCATCCTTATGATTGTGAGAATGTCACAGTACTGAGCAGTATTTTGTTCTGGGGGCACCTATGAGTAGGAACTGACTGCATGACACCTAGCAACAAAAACAACAATGATTAGAAACTATTACTCTGCATAATACTTCTTGAAGTAGCAAAGGAGCATTTCTTCCTTTAACATTTTGAAGTGGTGGGTTGTTTATTCCTGAAAAATCAAGAAAGGAGATTCAGATGGAATTATTCACTCTTTCCCTGTTAAACCCAAAACCAAACTTGCTGCCATTAAGTCAATTCTGACTCATAGTGACCCCCAGTGGGTTTCCAAGGCAGTAAATCTTTATGGAAATAGATTGCCCTGTCTTCCTTCCATGGAGCAGCTGCTGGGTTTGAACCACCAACCTTCTGGTCAGCAATCAAATGCCTTAGGCACCATGCCACCAGAGCTCCTTTCTTTCCCTATTATATACATTCTTTTTCCAGAAGTAATAATGATTTTCCAGCAAGATATCTCTTCTTGGATATCTAGTCCTCTTTGTATTTAGTAGAGTTTGTCAAATTATACAGCTAGTGCCTTTAAGAGGAGGGTTTTGTTGCTATTTTCCTAGAAACTAAGTTTGTTGGACCATGCAGATATGTTCCACTTAATGGATTATAGAAGATTGGGACAGCCTGAGCTGAGTGTTCATGGTCACACCCTTTTCTTAATCTATATCTGGAATACTAGATTTATCAGCAGTTTCTTAGATATGATTTGCTTATTTAACATACAATGTTGATTTCATATCACTTGGCTCTTGAAAATTGAGGAGCATATCAAATAATAGTTATGTGTATAGACCAGAAGTATTTTTTCTCAATTTTAAATCTGGTTTTCTTGAGAATAGCAATGAGATCATATCAACAAGAAATTTCTGTTTTTCAGAAGTTACCTGCTTTTTATTTTCTTTTTATTTCTCCCATTTCTACATGTCCTACAGTTATACTTTTAAAATGTTGTTAAAGATTGTTTTATTCTCTTGGGGCTATTCTGTTCTTAGTTTTGTACAGTGGGCAGTGATGTCAAAGGGATTATTGTAAAATGAACAATGTTTATATACCAGGAACAAAATTTGTTTTTTTTTTTCCTGTGGTAAAACCGATCGCTTCATTTAACAAGCATTATTTCTGTGTGTGTCAGCTTCTTTTTCAATTGCTTTGTGTAATGATATTCATTATCAAGTGTGGATAATTATGTTATAGATCTGAACCAGACAGGGCATGGTGGGCTGCTAGATATAGAGAGAATAACTATAAAAAAATGTAAGTCTACAAGACATGCAGGAAGAAAAAAAAATCAGTTTTATTACTTTATAAATAAAGTGTTTCCAGCATGAGTTTAGCAGCAAAAGGCCAAAAATAATATAGAGGTTTTATTTCATGTTATTTATATGCCTTGCAGTTATGAACAGGAGCGCTGGTAGCGTAGTGCCTAAGGCACTTGACTGATAACCAGAAGGCTCATGGTTCAAACCCACCAGCCACTCCTTGGAAGGAAGATGGGGCAATCTACTTCCATAGTGATACTGCCTTGGAAACCCAAGGAGGGGTCACTATGAGTCCGGTCCGACTCCCTGGCATATATCAACAACAATAACCGGTTCCAAATATTGTAACTGGAAAGACAGATACAGCAAGGAAAGATTAGGGGAGATAAATGAGCAATCCAGTCATGGATGGTAAGGGAGAAATAGAGAAAGGAAGGACTACAGGGTGGAAGTGCAGATGAAAGGGACAGAAGGTTAAGGAGGGACAGTGGGAGAGCTAGCAGTGAGATGGTGAACATTGAGAAATAATTTCAGATAGCAGAGGAGTTGCATCCAGTTTATGTTTGTTTATTTTATGTTATATTTAGAGTGTTTTCATACTCTCACACCAAAGTTTGAAGTCTTGCACCTGTTACTTTTACATTTCAAAAAATTGGAATAGAATTTATTCAAAATGTTAAAAAAAAATGTTAGAAAATGGGGAGTGGGGGATGGGGAAGGTAGCTAATAGAAATTTTAGCAAAGTTCAAACTGTATGAAAATATGATATGGAAAGAGTCTGTGTCCAGCATGATGACACTGGGGAAAGGAAGGATACTAAAACATGCACATAAGATATAGACAACAGAGGCAAATACTAGTACATGCACAATACTGCATTACCACTAACACCAAACACCAGGCTACGGATAAATGCATAGACAGGTGAGAAGATCAGGTGGGGGTAGGTGAACAGGAATATATCCTAGACCAAGGATAGATATGGCTGAAGATAATCTTACATATGTACTTGTGCTACAAAATTAGCCACATATATTACAGAAGCAACAGAACCTAGAGTTGGAGTAACTTGTCAGAGACCAACCAAACACCTCGAGAGAGAGAATCACAGGTCTGCAGACTTGGGACCAATGCTCAATTGGTATAATACAGTGCATAAAAGGGAGCTCTGGTGCTGTAGTGCCTAAGGCATCTGACTGCTAACCAGAAGGCTGGCATTTCAAATCCACCAGCCACTCCTTGGAAGGAAGGTTGGGCAATCTACTTCTGTAGTGATACTGCCTCGGAAATCCAAGGAGGGGATCACTATGAGTTGGATCCAACTTCACCGCAGTGGGTTTGGTTTGGGTTTTTTTTTGTTAGAACATAAAAATCTTGTTCTACAACCTGCTTTGGTGAGTAGTGATTGGGGTCTTAAAAGCTTTTGAGCAGCCATCTAAGATGAAACTGTTGGTCTCTTCTCATCTGAATCAAAGAAGAGTGAAGAAAATCAAAGGCATCTGGAAACAATTAGTCCAAGGACAAGATGGACCATGAGGACCTCAGTCTTCATGACCCTGAGACCAGAAGAAATAGATGGCGCCTGGCTATCAATTCCAACCACTCAGAAAGGGATTAAAACTGGAGATCCTGGATAGAGTGGAGGCAAAATGTGGAACAAAATTCATAAACACAAAAATGACCAGAATTACTGGTCAGATAGAGACTGGCAGAACCCCCAAGACTATGGCCCTGGGTTACCCTTTGGGCCTACAAATGGACTCACTTCCATGAATGATTGTCTCTCAGCCCAACAGTAGAAAGACCAACATGCACAACATCTATCTCAGGGTGATGCACCCACCTACTCTAGGGAGATGCACCCCTTAGAGAAATCAGCCATGAGACACCAGAGAGGCAGCATTCACATAGAGGGAAAGCTGGACAGACAGGAATACATGGTTAAGCAGGGCACGGTGTGGGGGTAGTCACAGGGATGGGAGGGGAGAAGAGTTTTTTTTATGGTTGAGGATGGTAATCAGGGCCATGAAATGAAATGTGCATGAATTGCTGTGTGTAAAACAAATTGTCTTTGTAAATTTGCATCCAAAGTGCAATAAAATTAAAAAATACAACAACAACTATATCAAAATGTCAGTCTCAGTGAGAGCTCTCTGTATCACACTTCTCCTTTCCTTTTTTTACATAGGTACAAAAGTATGTTTTCTGTTACAGAAAACCAAGTGATTCAAGCACTTCAAGGCAAATTGCAGGCATCTTATGGGGAAAACTTTGTATCCCAGTTCAAGGCTTTTGATCCAGAAGGCTCTGACATCCATTTTATCTTAGACTCCTGTCCTGAAGGAGCTAGTGTTTCCTCCACAGGACTGCTTAAGTGTAAAACAGAGTCACAAACCCCCTGAGATTCACTCTACACCTTAATGATGACTGCAATGCTGAAACTAGCATCACGATTGAGGTAATATTTATAATTATATAAATTATAATTTATATTACTCAATTTTTAACAGTAGTAATAATTTCATATTTTTTCCCACTATTCTCTGGAAGAATTTAAAGCCTTAGGAGAGAGTTTCAATTAAGGCAAACATGGATCAAATCACTAATTCCCAGACCACCTTCATCCGCACTCAGCCATGATGAGGATACAGAACTCACTCTTGTCCACTTTCATTAAAGATCTGTATCTACCTATAATTAGCTTATCCTCTTTTCCATCAAATGATAGTTCTTTTAGCATCTCAGGTATTGAGCTAGAAATCAAGATTGTAAATGTAAGACTCCAAGCAACAAGTTAACATCTATAGTTCTATTTTTCTGAAGTAGTTAATTTACTTTTTATGTCAGTCATTAGCTCTTAATCCTTATAAACTATTTTTGCCCCTTATGCTCACATGACTCTTGAGACACACTTTTTATAGAAGCAAGTTTATAAAGGACAATTAGGTTTTATATGTTGTTAACCCAATCTTTAAGTGATGGTTTGGGAACTGACCCAGGTACCTAACTGCTTTCTACTTTATTTATTTATTTTTCAGTTCTTCTGCTTGTGTTATAGAAATTGATTTTATAACATTAAAAAAAGTTATCCCTGGCATCTAATTTCTGGCACAATTGCCTTAATGAACCTTTTTTTTTTTTTTTTACAAATTACCATGTTATTAAATATATTCTCAAGCACTGTATTAAAAAATGTGTGATTTAGTCATACTTGTACATAAACATGCATGCCGACCATGATCCCAAGGGCATAAATTGAAGATAAATTTACTGCATTAAATGAAAACATTTACTTTTTATTTCTCTTGTAGGTGACTGTGAAGTCCTGTGATTGCTTGAATGGTGAACGCTGTGTGTCTGATATTATCATGTGGGGAAGGAGCTGGGAAAGTCTTAAGAAGAGTTAAGACAGTGAAATATACAGCAACACTTGAAGATGTTCTGACCTAAGGTGAGGTGCGAGAATGGATGAAAGAAGCAAATTGACAGTGCCTGGTCAATGAGTGGACTTAGTTTGGTGATGGAAAAAGAGCAATGAAGGTGCAAGTACTGGTTTACGAGAATGGGAGTGAAGAATTGTCAGTCACAAGCAATATGCAAAAAAAAAAAAAATGATGAAAAAATTTTGAAGGGAGAAGATTATTCAGTTTGGATACATAGAGACTGAGGTCACTACGGAATTTCCAAATGGAGCTCAGGAAAGGGTGTTGAGTTAAAAATACAACTCTGGGTCATCAGCCATGGAATGAAATTGCCCAAGAGGAACACTAACATTAAAAAGAGGACAAAAGATATTGGTAGATGTCATCATTTCAAAAGATTTAAGTAGAAGTGTAAATGATAAAAGACAACATTAAAGAACCATAGCTTTAGTTTAATTGAACTAATGGGACCCTGTTTTGATGAAAAACGTAGTATATTACCTTATGCTTCAAATTGTTTTGGCCTGTCTAGTGCTGGAAGCAACACAAATGAAGAGCACAGTGTAGTGTGGCAAGGGGAATTCTCTACTATTTCAGCAACTCGCATTTCAGCCTCAGTATCCAGTGCCTAGTACTCAATACTATCATTCCTTCCACTCTATACACTTAAGTGGTTTAACATCCCTCTTTTCTAAACAAAAAGGTCCATTTCCTCAGTAAAACCTTTTTCAACTGAGATTAAAAAGGAAAGCAAGTTGAACAATGTCCCACTGCTCATGAATCATTAAAAATCTCTTCAATTTGTCAGAAGTATTGTGTATTTTAGGAGTTCTGGTGGCATAGTGGCTAAGGCATTTGACTGCTAACTGGAAGTCTGGTGGTTCAAACCCACCAGCCACTCCTCGGAAGGAAGATTGGGCAATCTACTTCCATAGTGATACTGCCTTGGAAACCCAAGGAGGGGTTGCTATGAGTCGGATCTGACTTATAGCAGTGAATTTGTTTTTTTGTTTGTTTATTGTGTATTTTAGGAAGATACATATTAATCCAAAGAATTTTTGCTTTTTATGTTTTTGCTGAGTTTTATGTTAGGCACTAGAGTCAGTGCATATAAAAATAAAGCACAATTCTTGTTCTTGAGATTATTGCTGACTAGTAGAGGAAAGAGACACATAAGTTAATATTGTGAAGAACAAAGTTTTGTGGGAAGCATACGGTTGGAAGCAATTGAATGGGTAGATGAATGTAACTGAGGACAGGGGACATTTAAACTAGGTCTCTAATCTCATTTGTAATGAATTTAATCCAAGTGACATTTAAATTGTATGTTCTTACTCATGATGCTTTGATTTAATAATAATTTCACTCCAATGGTCATTTCTAATTCTTCCTAAAATAATTAATTATTGTTCTTTAACTTTTATACTGTTCAACATTCCAAGCGATCTTGTGTACCCAAATAGATTATGGATTTCTTGAAGGCAAAAACCACATCATGATTTCTTATTACAGGTTCCTATAGTGTTATACAAGGAGCTCTAGTGGTGTAGTGGTTAAAGCATTTGGCTGCTAACCAAAAGGTTGGTGGTTCAAAGCCACCAGTTACTCTGTGGAAGAAAGATGAGGCAGTACACTTCCATAAAGATTTACAGCCTTGGAAACCCAAAAGGGGTCTCTATAAGTCAGAATGGACTGGATGGCCATGAGTGAGTATTGTATTATACACATAAAACCAAAAACTAAATCCATTGCTGTTTAGTTGATCCCAACTCATAGCAATCCTATAGGGTAGAGTAGAACTGACCTGTAGGGTTTCCAAGGCTGTAAACTTTAAGAAAGCAGACTGCCACATCTTTCTCCCAACCTTCCTCTCTCTCTCTCTCTCTCCCTTTTTTTCTCCTCTATTTTATTTTCTCCCTTCATCCAAGTTAATGTGTGTCTACAATGGGGGTTGCTATAAGTTGGAAACGACTCAATGGCAGTGAGTTAGTTTTTCTTTTCTTTTTCATATTCTCTAGTTAATAGTTTACTCTCCCTTCCTCACCTACCAGTGTAACCATCAAAGAAAATTTCTTTTTTTTAATGTGTGAAACCCTTAGTAGTCTCCTACAATATTTGTCCCTTTGTGGTTGACTAACTTCACTCAGAATAATGGGCTCTAAGTTCATCCATGTTATGACATGAGAACCCCAAGCTTTTGGTTAGCAGCCAAGCACTTAACCAAAGCTCCTTGTTAAACACATACCAAAGACCAAAACTAACTCCATTGCTCTTGAGTTGATTCTGACTTGTAACAACCATATTGGACAGGGTTGAATTGCCTAGGGGGTTTTCAAGGCTGTAAGTCTTTATGGAAGCAGACTGCCACATCTTCTCCTGTGGAATGGCTGGTGGGTTCAAACAGCCAAACTTTTGGTCAGCAGCCAGCACTTAACCACTGTGCCACCAGGGTTCCTTGGTATAATTGTAAAAAATCCACTACCATTGAGTTGATGCCAACTCATATTGACCCCTATTGCGTTTCCAAGGCTATAAATCTTTACGGAAGTAGATTGCCTCATCTTCCTCCCATGGAGCAGCTGGTGGGTTGGAATCACCAGCCTTCTGGTTAATAGCCAAATGCCTTACCCACTACACTATCAAAGCTCCTTTGGTATATGCATAGTAGACAATAAAGGAATGAATTACTACCCAACACTGCGAGTCAAGCAGAGCATTGCTAAATGTTAATTTATAAATCAATAAAGCATTAACACTTCTGTTTTTCTGCTGTTTAGATATAAATTTTCAGCCACCATCGACTGAGAATTTGCCAATTGGCACAAGTTTTACCCATAGTCCTGCTACTATCTTGGACACAACCAACAATATCTCATACTTATTAAAATCTGTTGCAACTCAGATGAATAATTCAAAGGATATATCCTATGATATATCAGGTTTTAAACATGTGGATCATGCTCTCAGTACAAATCTCAGTCTGGATACATTGGAAGTTTCTATGAACAACCTTACTTCTTTTCTTCTTCTTCTTTTTTTAAATCATGATTTGGGTGAAAGTTTACAGAGCAAATTCATTTTCCATACAGCAGTTCACATACACTTTGTCTCATGAACAACTTTATTTCTTTAAGCATCAACCCAAACAGCTCCCATGGCAAAGCAAAGGATGTTATTCAGAGCACCATCCAAACAGAGGCAGGAGAGTATAATTCGCAAATTCACAGATCTTCCCAAGGCTACACACAGTGTAAGGATGGGTTTGCATCATCAGTTAGTAGAGTAATCACTGTTGTACGAGAAAAGCCTAGATTGACCAAAATATCAACTTGTACTGATTCACCTTGTTTTCTTGGTGTTTCCTGTGTGCTGACCACAGACGGTCTCTTCAAATGTGGATGCTGTCCATTTGGGTTTTACAGAGATGGTATCAATTGCTGAGGTAGTATAAAAACTCTTTGGAAGATCTAAAGAAAATTATCAAATTCAAATTTAAGCAATTATGAAGAAATGCTTTTCTGGTTATTCATGTCTACTATTCCATTTGTTTGATTTATTTCTAGTTGCTCCATTTTTTTCTGTATATTCTTTAATATTTTGAAGAAAAAATAAATTTCTTTTGAGTTTCAAAATAATTATGTTGCTATTATATAATATTGCAACTATATAATATGTATTATCAATATATGTTTATTGTGCATCTACCTACTGTATTTCAGGGTCTGTAGAAACATTTTGTATTAATAATATCATATAACCCACAAGAACCCCACATAATGGATGTTATTTTTCCACTTTACAGATGAGGAGGCAGAGCCTGGAGAGCTACTGACTTTTCTGACAATAAGCAGCTAAAGAGATAAAAAGAGGATGTGAATATAGGTCTGAATTGTAGTCTGGATTTTTTTCAACTCAGAACAGACTTTTGCCACTTCAAATTACTAATTCTGATGTATTTGCTTATTTGCATAAACTTGTTAGGTGCTGTGTTAGATGCTGTTGAACTGCCTCTGAACAATAGTGACCTTATATCCAACAGAATGAAACACTGCCAGGTCCTGTGCCATCTTCATAATCCCTGCTATGACTGAGCCAATTGTTGCAGCCACTGTGTCAATCCATCTTGATGAGGGTCTTCCCCTTTTTTTGCTGATTCTCTACTTTACCAGTCATGCTATCCTTCTCCAGGAAATGGTCTCTTCTGACAGGATGACCAAGGTAGGTGAGACAAAGTTTGGCCATTCTCACTTCTAAGGAGCATTCCACCTGCCCTTCTTCCAGGAAAGATTTGTCTGTTCTTATAGCAGTTCATGGTATGTTCAGTATTCTTCGCTAACACCACGTGTCAAAAGCCTGAACTCTTCTTCAGTCTTCCTTATTCATTATCCAGCTTTCACATGCAAATGAAGCAATTAAAAATAGCATGTCTTTGGTAAGGTAAAACTTAGTTTTCAAAGTGACATCTTTGCTCTTTAACACCATAAAGAGGTGTTTTGCAGCAAATTTGCCCAATGAAATACAACATCTGATTTATTGATTGCTGCTTCCATGGGTGTTGATTGTGGAACTAAGTCAAATGAAACCTTTGACCACAAGTCAAATGAAACCTTTGACAACTTCAGTCATTTTTCCATTTATCATGATGTTGCTTAGTGGTCCAGTTTAGAAGATTTTTGTTTTCTTTATGTTGAGGTGGAATCCATAGTGCAGACTGTAGTCTTTAATCTTCATCAGTAAGTGCTTCAATTCAACTTCACTTTCAGCAAGCAAGGTTGTGTCATCTGCATATCGCAGGTTGTTAATGAGTCTTCCTCATTCCACATCAGGATGTTGTGTGCTTCTTCATATAGGCCAGTTTCTCAGATTATTTGTTCAGCATACAGATTGAATAAGTATGGTGAAAGGATACAATACAACCCTGATGCACAACCTTCCTGATTTTAAGCCATGCAGTATCCCTTGTTCTGTTCAAACGACTGCCTCTCGGTCTATGTACAGGTTCTGCATGAGCACAATTAAGTGTTCTGGAATTCTCATTCTTTGCAATGTATCCATAATTGGCTATGATCCATACAGTTGAATGACTTTGCATAGTCAAGAAAACACAGGTAAACATCTTTCTGGAATTCTTTGTTTTCAGCCAAGATCCATCTGACATCAGCAATGGTATCCGTTGTTCTATGTCCTCTTCTGAATCCAGCTTGAATTTCTGGAAATTCACTGTCCTTGTATTGCTGGAAATGTTTTTGAATCATCTTCAGTGAAATTTTACTTGCATGTGATTTTAATGATATTGTTCAATAATTTCCACATTCTGTTGGATCACCTTTCTTTGGAATGGGTGCAAATATGCATTCTTCCAGTCGGCCAAATTTCTTTCATAAACAAGTAAGCACCTCCAGTGCTGCATCCATTTCAATGCGTATTCCTTCAGTATCTGGAACCTTGTTTTTCACTAGTTCCTTCAGTGCAGCTTGGACTTTTTCCTTCAATAACATTGGTTCACGATTATATGGTCCTCCTGAAATGGTTGAATGTCAACCAATTCTTTTTGGCACAGTGGCTCTGTATATTCCTTTCCACTTCTTTGGATGCTCCTGTGTCTTTCAATATTTTGCCCACAGAATCCTTCAAAATTGTAACCCAAGGCTTGAATTTTTTTTTTTCTTCAGTTCTTTCAGCTTGAGGAACACCGAGGTTGTTCTTCCCTTTTGGTTTTCTAACTCCAGGTCTTTGCACAGTTTATTATAATAATTTTCTTTGTCTTCTTGAGCTGCCTGCCCTTTGCAATCTTCTTTCAGCTCTTTTATTTCATCATTTCTTCCATTCGCTTTAGCGCCTCTGTTCAAAAGCAAGTTTCAGAGTCTCTTCTGATGTCCATTTAGTCATTTCTTCCTTTCCTGTCTTTTTAATGACCTTTTGCTTTCTTCATGTATGATGTCCTTGATGTCATCCCACAAATCTTCTGGTCTTCAGTCATTAGTGTTCAGTGCATCAAATCTATTTTGAGATGGTCTCTAAATTCAGGTAGAATATAGTCAAGGTTATACTTTGGCTCTCATGGTCTTGTTTTCATTTTCTTCAGCTTCAAGTTAAATTTGTACATGAGCAATTGATGATCTATTCCACAGTTAGCTCCTGGCCTTGTTTTAGCTGATGATATTAATCACTGATGTTATAGTGGATAAGGCACTTGACTGCTAACTGAAAGGTCAGTGGTTCAAACCCACCAGCTGCTCCATGGAAGGAAAACTAGATCTATTTCTGTGAAGATATATGGCCTCAGAAACCCAGTGGGGGTTGCTCTGAGTCAGAAACAACTCAATGGCAATGAGTTATTTATTTTTTTTTAATTGATCTTCTCTATTGCCTGTCTCCACAAATGTAGTTAATTTGATTCCTGTGTATTCCATCTGGCAAGGTCTATGTGTATGCCATTTATGTTGTTGAGAAAAAAGGATTTGCAATGAACAAGGCCTTGGTCTTCTAAAATCCTATCATGTGATCTCCAATGTCATTCTATCCTCAAGGCTGTATTTTCCAATTACTAATGCTTCGTCTTTGTTCCCAACTTTTGCATTGTTCAATCACCAGTAATTATCAATACATTTTGATTGCATGTTTAGTACATTTCAGACTGTAAGAGTTGGTAAAAATCTACAATTTCTTCATCTTTGACTTTAGTGGTTGGTGTGAATAATAGTAGTATTAACTCATCTTCCTTGTAGGCATATAGATGTTATCCTTACTGACAACATTGCGCTTCATGATAGATCTTGAAATGTGATGATGAATGCAACATCATTCCTGTTCAATTTGTCATTGCCAGCATAGTAGAACATATGACCAATACCAGTCCATTTCAGCTCAGTAATGCCTAGGATATTGATCTTTCTGTGTTTCATTTCATTTTTGACAACTTCCAATTTCCCTAGATTCATACTTTGCATATTCCACATTCCATTTATTAATGAAAGTTTGCTGTTGTTTCTTCCTGTTTTGAGTCATGCCACATCAGCAAATGAAGGTCCTGAAAGCTTTACTCCATCCATGTCATGAAGGTCGGCTCTACTTTGAGGAGGCAGCTCTTCCCCAGTTGTATTTTTAGTGCCTTCCAACTTGAGGAGCTCATCTTCCAGCACTATATCAGACAATGTTTCACTACTTATTCATACAGTTTTCCAGTAATATATCAGACTATATTTCATAGCTATTCATAAGACTTTCAGTGGTCAGTTTCTTCAGAAGTGGATGACTCTTGCCATAAACTAGGTTTTCTTGTAATTCTTCCTATTCTTTTGGGAATAGAAGTACATTGCTTTAAGTTTGAAAGAAATGTTTACATATTTTCACAATCATCAGTATTGCTTTATCTCATATCAATCAAATCTTTGGCATTGACAAAGTAGAAGTTATTTTTTGTTCTTGTTTTGTTTTGTTTATGTTTTGGCTTATTTGAAACCAAATTTAAACAAGAGAGCTGTTGGAGAATTCCTTTTGTTCTCAGTATTACTAGAAGAACTGTGGTTCTTCTCTTTTCTGTAGGAATAATAATAAAAGTCATCAATAGCTAATGCTTGTAATAGAAAATTCTTTTTTATTTAGGAATAAAACAAAATAACCTCATGCATTCTAGCCGCTTCAGAAAGTGTTAAACACCAAATAGTTAGAAGATATCAGGCATTTAAGAAGTCTAAGCTTACAATGTATTTCTCACATTTTGATGTTGAAACTATGATTATTCCTAGTATTCATCAGCGTTTGGTTAGTATCTGAAACTTCTTCATTGACGTCAGAAAAAGACTTAATCCCATTTACAATTAGTAGCCAGTCCTAAGCAGGTTCTGCTATGAGAGTAAATAACCCTTCTGATACTTCTTTTTTACCCTTAAATGTTTTCCTCAGTCATTGCAGTAGTGAAATAAATATTGGGGACAGTAATGATACAGGTAAATTTAGTGGTTATTGTTTAATAAAAGTATTATCATTTTATTTTATTTAAGTATTAACTTTCAGATAATTTTACTTTTATTATAACTAAATCAATAGGCAACGTGTATACTATATTGACAATTAACTCTTTTTTTTCCTTGAATCATACAACCTTTTGTAAAATGTGCAATTTCCACCCATGTGGAAAAAGCCAAGAGTGTATTGCCCCAGATATATGAAAATGTAGACCTGGTTACACTGATTCTAACTGCTTAACTGGTAGGTACAACCCTCATTAGGTTATATAACGAATTTTAATTGATAATTAATATTCTAAAGCATGGATTTTATTTCATACAGATATATGTCACCCTGAATGTAAAAACTATGGAAAATGTACTAAATCTAACATTTGTCAGTGTCCTCCAGGACATGGTGGAGCAAGCTGTTATGAAGCTGATAATTCAAATTAAAAATCAAGTAATAGAGCCAAAATACTTTATTTTTTCTTTAAAATCTTTTCTGGAGATAATTCAGTTGCATTGTATATATACTAATATGTAGTCAGTAATGTTGCTGAGGGACTATGAGTTTTATAAGTGTCTATTAAAAGTATTTATTCATAGATTTTAAAAACTTAGAATTTCTAATACCAGACCTCATATAGCAAAAACTTTGTCTTTTGCAAAATTATCTTCCGAAATAACTTATTGATATTTAGTTATAAGATGCCAATTTACCCCTACAAATATTTTAGCATCAAGCAAAGAACACCTAATTATTGAATGACTTGTCATATATATTGTTCCAAGGAACTGTTAATTGTGATAGGTAGAAGGAATCAGGTAGTTAGAAGAAACCTAAAAAGTGATCTTTTTAAGTATGCCTATTGTTGTTATGTACTGTTGAGTCAGATCTGACTCATAGCGACCCCTCCTTGGGTTTCCAAGGCAGTATCACTATGGAAGTAGATTGCCCAACCTTCCTTCCAAGGAGTGGCTGGTGGGTTTGAACCGCCAGCCCTCTGGTTAGCAGTCAAGGGCCTTAGGCACTATGCTACCAATTTCATTGCTTTGGTATAAATGCAAAATGGAGAATTTATTAAATGACTTATCTAAACTGGATGATATTTTAAAGAAGGAATTTGCTGCTTACTTTAAAAATAATATTAAAAAAAAACTATACTTTGACAAATGGTCCATGCATCCATACTCTTGTTAATAAATTGTGAGTACCTTAAATATTTTCATGACAAGTAAAGGTACAAATTAACAAATTAAAGTAAGCTTAGGGTGAACTAATGGAAACATTCAACAAAAATACATGAAAATAACTAAGGAAATATAGAAATGTTTATTCACTTATAAGGTAGGGATACATAATTCCAAGTTTCAATTTTCAAAAGTAACTTAAGGTCATGCATGTATAAAATTAAGCAAAAGTTTTATAAACCAAAGCATGCTGAGGGTGTGTGGGTGTTAACCCATATAGTCAGTCCTTACAGCTAAGCTTCACAGTAAAGCAGAACCCAGCTCACTGTAAATTGCTCTTACAAGATTTACCTGTGGCTGTGCATCATGATAACAAACCAGCTTATTTTATTAAGGGCTGACTTAATAACATAATCTGTGTCTGCGGAACATTGTAGCCCACCTTTTTGACATGGTGGCATGCTTGGCTAGCAATCTCTGCACTTGTCCTTACGGTTTTGTAGGTGTGAAACAAGTAAGCAAAGCTCTCTAGCAGTCTCTTATAATGATATTGCTCCTTTGACTCAATGGTGACTACTGCTAAATGAGAAGAACCCAAACCCTAAGTAAAGAACACACATTCATGATTTATTACCACTGTTACTACCGTTCTGAATATCACTGGGAGCAAACCACAGGCGAGCAGTGCTAAGATAAACAAGTTTGTTCTTTAGGGTAGCAGGAATTCCTGTTTTTTATGTGCATATAAATTTGTCTCATTTAGTTTATATTTATGATTGCTTTCATCAGCAGCTAATAATTTTTCCAAATAGCAATACTTGTTTACCACTCAGAGGTTTTCTCCTTTTCCTATTTCATTAGTAAAAAATCACTGACTTTGAGAATCAGATGGCTTTCAAAGCCAAAGTATGAATTATGTTTTATTTTTTCTCTCTGATATTATTCATCAGTAGATGTGATTGGTAGTTATGAGTTGGGTAGGTAATAGCCAACAATATGATCATCTCAAATCTCATTTACCTTTCTTTTATTCTTATTTTATGATCTTAGTGGTTTATAACAGGCACTGTGAAAATGGAAGTGAAAGTCTTAAACCAGATGTTTCCCAGTGCAAGCCTGGCTGGTATGGACCCACCTGTAGACAGGTAAAATCAGAAATGTTTTCAATAAATATGCTTGTTAAAAGAAACTTAAAATGTGGCAATATCCTAAAGACTTGCATCTAAGAACCATAAAATTGATCTGACAAGACTGATAAGAGGTTATTTCAGAAGGATTTTTAAAATGGCTAGTTGCTGTTGATTTCAACTCCTTGTGACCCGTTGTGTATCAGATTAGAACGGTGCCTGTCTGTGGACTCCTAATTTCTATATTTTTGTTAGCAGCTGAGTGTGTTAACTGTTTGCAATACCCAATGAGTCCAGAATTTTAGAAACCATATCTCTAATCCTTATTCTTCTTATAATAGACTACATAGTGTCTTATAGTTCTATTGTAATCCTAACCAACCAATTTTTTTTTTTTTTTTTTGTCTTTATACTTCTCAAGGAGTTCTGATGGTACAGTGGATAAAGTATTTGGCTGCTAACCAAAAGGGTGGCAATTTGAACCCACCAGCTGCCCCATGGGAGAAAGATGTGGCATTCTGCTTCTGTAAAGATTTTTAAGTTTGGAACCCCTATGGGGCAGTTCTACTCTGCCCTATAGAGTTGCTGTGAGTCAGAATTGATTCAACAGCATTTTTTTTTTCCCAATATTTCTCTCATTCCATTTGCTTGCTTTATAGTGGAGAAACTGATCTTTGTTGCATTTTGTATGTCTGTATGCACATTATATTCTCTGGTAGTGTAGCACCTAAGGCATTTGACTGCTAACCAGAAGGCTGGTGGTTCAAACCCAGCAGCCCCTCCTTGGAAAGAAGACTGGGCAATCTACTTCCATAGAGATACCACCTCAGAAACCCAGGTAGGGGTCGCTATGAGTCGAATCAACCCAATGGCAATAACATCCAAACAATTCTGAATGAAGAAGACACTCATCATTTTAGTACTAATATAATTCCATTTATTTACCACACTGTCAGGTTTGCTTCTTTTGCAGCAGTGTTTGTGCTTATCTATGCTCAGTCTAGGAGCTCTGGTGGCATAGTGCCTAAGGCACTTGACTGCTAACCAGAAGGCTGACAGTTCAAACCCACCAGCCACTCCTCGGAAGGAAGGTTGGGGACTCTATTTCCAGAGTGATAACACCTAGGAAACTGAAGGAGGGGTCGCTATGAGTCAGGTTGACTCGATGACACATAACAACAACAACATGCTGAATCTAATGTCCCTTGTGATTTTCTCAATATCAACTCAATTAAACGTTTATGACTTACCAACTATGTGTGAAGCATGATGTAAGAAGAGGCCAAGATCAATATAATTTTGCCCTGATTTCAAGTAACATATTATTAGTGAAGGAGACATGAGTTAGTTATAAAGAATGACTATCAATTGGGTTATGATAAGAAATGTAATTTGTGCACATCTCCTTGGAAGCACAGAAGAAAGAAATTAATTCCAGCAAGTGGAATTTGGAAGAAAATAGTGTTTAAGGCAGTATTTGGTGAATGAATAAACTCTAGGTTGAAAAATCAGATTGTAGGTACCTTTCTAAGTGGAGCAAAAGATAAAGAAGCCAAAACAGAGAACGTTTTTGAGTACGTTAAGACTTGTGTGGAGTCTTCCTGTATGAATGGAGGTGACTTAAAGAGTTACATGAAGTCAAATGTATTTGAGCAGATTAGAAACCATTCAGTTAGTGCTATAGAATTGTCTTCTCTTGACTTCCTACAATTTCTTCAGTTTACCAAGGGCATTCTGAATGCTTATCATAGCCTCTACATTCCTTGGTATTATTTCTAAGCGTAATGAACATACATTCAAAGCTATTACCCAGTTATTTAATTCCTCTTCTTTTATGTTTAACAAAGTCTAATTAATTATAGGTTATGGGTTTTACTTGCAGTAAAAATGAAATATTTCATTATTCACTGTTTTGTACTTCTGTGCAGCTTTCATTTTTTTATATAATAAAACTTTTATGGTTTCTTTCCCTCCTGCTGTTCATTAGCTTTGTGTGACCCTGTTTGTCTCAGTGGTGGTTCCTGTAATAAGCCAAATGGATTTTTTGGTGCACAGTGTCAGAATAGTAATTATCTTTTCTTTATAAATAGTCAAAGGGAAAGTTATTCATAAACAGAGCTTTGAGTAAATTCTATAAGAAAAGTTTCTAAGGGGAAGATACTATTTATTTCAGAGTTGCATTTCTTCTTGCAGGTTTGATTGCTAAATGACAAGTTCACAGAAATATATCAGAATTATTATATAAAAGGGTTATATTTATCCAACATATGCTTCACTTGCAACCTTATCACTTGTCTGTATGGTTTCATAGGACCAAGATGTGAAATACAAATACGCTAAGCTGTTTTTCGGTCTGTTATAATGAAATGGAATCATTTTTGCTGCCTTCACACACAAAAAAAGTTAATATATGATCAGTCTAATGCCCACTACTATCACATGATCTCTCTTAATTTTAGTTTCATTAAAATTTTATGCAGAGCTAACTATGTACAAAATATACAAGGTGGTATAAGAAATAAAGATCCATCATTTTCCCTGTTCATGGCCTGCTATTTGGGATTCATTCCATAATATAATTAATGCTGTAGGTTCCAAGAGAGTAACGCTCTGAGGCTGACAGTGAAGAAAACTGTTATTTTCAATTTTATATGTATTTCTGTATAAATGTAGTATTTATCCCTATATTCAATTCTTTGTGGATGTTTATCAATTATAAACCAAAACCAAACTCACTACTGTCGAGTCGATTCAAGTCAAAGCGATCTCTCCTTGGGTTTCCGTGGCAGTATCTCTGCAGAAGTAGATTGCCAATCTTGCTAAAGAGGAGTGGCAATTATAGCAAGTCTTATACTAAAGTTTTTTTTTTGTTTGTTTAGTTTAACATTTCTAACCATTGGCATTACCTCTGGTACTTTTGCAATCTAAAATAATTAATTTCCCTAATAATTAGAAATAATCTTAAATTATATAAAATAGAAGAATGTCTCTACGTTAATAAAAAGTACTAGTATAACACCATATGAGAGAAAGTGGCCTCAGGCATTAACCAGAAAAGATTCAGCTTAAAAGAGGGGAAGTCATCCACTTGATGAAAGCACTCAGTGATACTGTTCTATAGCTAAAATACTACATTATTTTCATTTATAAATCCCTTTGACATCAGAGGAATGTTATGAACAGCGTTTGAAAATAAAGAAAGCAGCTATGTAAGAAGGCTCTAATGCAAACTGGGAGTCAGCCTACACCAGCTCTGTTACCAAAACCAGCTAATTTCACATGTATTTCACATACATATATAGAATAAACAATGTCTAACCCTAAATGGTACCTACAATTTCAGAAAGGTATTAATTTAATTAGCATTTAGGAAGAGATTATTTTTATTTATTTATATTGTGATTAGGAGCTCTGGTAGCATAGTGCCTAAGGCACTTGATTGCTAACCAGAAGGCTGGCAGTTCAAACCCACCAGCCACTCCTTGGAAGGAAGATGGGGCAATCTACCTCGGGAGTGATACTGCCTCAGAAACCCAAGGAGGTGTCTCTATGAGTCGGTTCCGACTCAATGGCACATAAAAACAACAACAACAACAATATTGTGATTTGGGTGAAAGTATACAGAGTAAAATTCATTTTCCATATTGCATTGATTGTAATCCCCACAATGTAACAGTTCTCTTACCACTTTCTTCCTATGGTTACCATTTCCCTGTGTCCTTCTTTCCTATGCATTCCTGCCCTCTAAGCTATCTCCCTGTGCAATTACTGCCCTTCTGATCTCTCATGCTTGATTGTTCTAAGGAATGTACCTACTTGGTGCAAATGTTCACCTTATACACCTGTCTATTGTTTGGCTGGAAGCCACAGGAACAGTTCAACTCTAGGTGAGAATATTGTTATTATTTAAAAAAAAAAAAACAAAAACTCAAGGCCAGTTTGCCTGGAGACTATTTTAAAAATAACTATTTAATTTTCATATTTGGAAGAAACATGAAGCAATAACAATCATTTCATAAAAGATGATAAATATCAGCCTCTGAATTCCATGGAACAGAATTATATACACAGAAGAAACCAGTAAAAAGTATTCAAGAATATCTAATAAATTATTCTTAACAAAACCAGGAATTTACTGTTAAGATTTGTACCAAGCTTTCTTAGGAGTAAGTTACAGATAAAGCTCCATCTTTATTACCTCAATAGGTATTCAAAAGTTTATTTTTAATTATCACATGGCAGATGTTGAAATCCTTCTAATTTCCATAAAAACATGTGCATTCTTATTTTGAGTTAGGTTATGACTTATTTTCTTGGTTTTTCTCAGACCATTTCATTCTTTAATTCACAGTATGATGGAACAGAAATTAACTTTCATAATATACACACTGTAATACCAAAGCCTTCATTTGTTATGAACATTTCAGCAGTACATTTCAACTTGTGCTAACTGACTAGTACCTTACAGCTAGAAGCATTAGATTTTATGAGTTAGAAAGGACAGTTTTAATGATTTGCAGTTGTGATCTTTTATTTTAATAGCACATCTCTCTGCTTTATGGCCTTATAGATAACAAGTACATGATGCCATATGTAGTATATAATAATGGAATATATAATATTCACAGATTGCTGCCTTGTGTTCTTTTAGCTATCTGTCACCCTCCCTGTAAGAATGGTGGCCAATGCATGAGAAATAATGTGTGTACCTGTTGTGAAGGATATGCTGGCAGGAGATGCCAAAAAAGTAAGACACTCCTTGACGGCATATAACAACAACAAATGTATTTGCCAAATAGGTAAGCATTCACAAAACGGTTTATCTTAAGGACTTATCTTTCACATTTTAATCTTAAGGCATCTGTGATTCTATGTGCATGAATGGCGGAAAATGTGTGGGACCAAACGTTTGCTCTTGTCCTTCTGGTTGGAAACAGAAACGATGCAACACACGTAAGGGTAATACTCTTAAAATGCTAAGCTTTCATCCTTTATGGGAACAGAAAGAATTTAAAACAAAGAGTGTTTTTCTTTTTTTTTGCTTTTTTGTTTGTTCATTTTTTTGGTCTGTATTTATTTATTTGTTCCTGTTTCAAGAAATATGATTTTAAACTGGAAAGAGCAAAATGCAAAGCCCTGTGAACTCATTCTTTCAGAATAGCAGAGGAAATATTTTTTTTCCTTTCTATGAAGTTATTATTTAAAATCAGCAGCTCTTGCAGTGTATTTGTAGAAATGAAAAATGGGAAGCAATGTAAACTTCCATTAACTAGGGAGAAGTTAAATCACGATGCATGTAAATAATGGAACATCATACA